TCTCGCAGGCAAAATAAACGTTCAAGTATCGATTCCAATTCGTCTAAAAAGTCTTTACAAATTGCAAGTTAGCGCGTTGGGGTCAGTAGCCACCAGAAATTATACTATTACACACCAAGTAGCCTCCGCCGTAGTTGCTGGTCCAGTTTGGCTTGTTCACGCTGTAGCAGATCAGGTGCATCAGTGAAGTAGCGACGCATTGCCGTTCGTGGTTTGGCTACGCTCACAGAGGATGGTAGAGTATCGGGCGAGGTGGAATGTGGGTCCGACGATAAGGCAGATACCTCTATTCGGGAGGAGGGGTAAGAAAACTGCATCATATGGATGCATGGTTGTGGTTGCTTTCGATCAAATGAAGCTGGGATACTTGGCACCCATGTGGTCAAGGGAGAATGTCCGGCTGACTTTTCCGCCAAGCTAGCTAACTGTTGCACCTTGACCAAAATCATAAAGAGTAAGAAGGAATCAGCGAACGCAATATGAGGAGTGCAAAGTTAAAGATATGCTTAGTAAGCGGCTTACACGGGCCTTGTAGATATGTAAAAATTCTGCGGTCGGGCGCGGAGAGACGGAAGAGAGTCCATTTAACATTTCCTCGAGTTTGCTGATGTAAATGGAGTATCGCCAGGCTTTGGTTTCATTTGCTTCCGCCAAATCCTCTGTGCAGTTTAACAAACGCACAAAATTGGTTTCCAAGACGACAGCCATCCCCACGAAGCCGAAATGAAGCTTCAAAAAGACAATTAAGCAAAGATATTGATGTCAATTTTTTTCAAAAAAACGGGTATAATATGCTACCTAGTAATCAAAAAGGTTTAATTGTTTATACCAGCAAAAAGGCCACTTCAAGAACAGGTGCGATCGCTGGAAAAGGATACTTTATGCATATGACGCAAGTAGCCAAAAACCAGTAATGGAGCCGCTTGGTTGCGGGCGATCTAACAATATTCGCAGAATGTATGATCAACGGCGATTAATGGAGAAACTGAAAGCGGTAATGTGTCTGGCTGCATAATTAATGTATCCAATAAAAAATTCAAGCTTTGTGCGTCCATCAGATCTTTTCAGTGTTTTCTTTAAAAATAGGGTTGAACAGGGATACGAACCGTCAAACAAAACATACTCCTTTATTATAGCGAACACTTCCATTCCTTCCAGTTCATTTACCCGCTACCTCATTGTCTAACTATGGTTGGTTGTCCAAGTGTTTTTCTTTTCAAAGTAGAATGTCAGACGGTCAAAAAAACAGATGATGAATAGATGTCCCACGGTCGAAAAACCATTTTGATCTTTCCTTGTTTAGGCGTCTCTGACAAAGCGAAGACTATTCAGGGGAATGTCCATGATGAGCTTCGTAAGTCTCAATTAGACTGGTGCTCCATAGTTTCGACAGCTCTTGTTTCAGTCCTATGGGGTAGACCTGCTACACTAACTGAACGGCCTTTTTAAATCGGCCAGAAATAATATTTAAAAAAACTGTTTAGACTTCAGCTGGAAACCCGTCTTCGTTGCAGTTCTGCTGTTTTGAAGATTTTGGATTGCCACTCGAATGTGGCAGAAGACAGTGGAGCACAATTGACATCATAGGGGACTTTGTAGGGGATTCATTAGCCGCAGACCACACCATAGGTACGGTCACACTTGCAAATTAGGGGAGATCAAGATTCTGGCGACTAAATAAAACCGAGGGATTAACGAGCTTACTCAGTCATGAGTTTTGACTGACTGTTTTTCATGGAGCGCAATTACCACTCATCTTCCCAATTCATTCCCGGGACTTGCCTCGACTGAATAATTACAGGGAAATGGGTGAGTGTTACTTCAAATGACAGTGCACGTCAATCACCGAGACCGGTGGTGAACTTGTGATAATTTAAAACAATGAGGCCAGAAACCAAGTCTTTGTCGTACCAAATACCAACCTCTGCGAAGAATATAGGAACCAGAAAGTTGAGAGCAAACTACAAATTGTAAATATTTTATTTGCATGCGTCCATCGAAATGTCAGAAAATAAAATACTAGCTCCAGCAATCGAATCATCTTCTTTGACCTACAATTGATTTTGCTAGTCGTTTAGTTGTCGCCAAATGTCAAGAGAGTATATGGAGATTTCTCGTACCGCCGACAGTGGGCGTTTGCTCCAATTTTAACGCTGAACACCGTTAGCATAAGTTTGTCAACTTTCGCTGGCAATATAGTCAGACCACACAGTACACTGATGGCTAGATCTCAGACACTTCAGTCATGCCGTGCCGTTCTAGTAGACTTAACTAATCATTTACGTTTCCGCCCATTGTAGTAAGGAGTAGAAAACGATGCCTTCAAGATGGCGAACAAGAACATGGCCCATTCCCCACTAAAGTGTGGCAACTAAGCGTCGGAACCTTCCATTAAGGCAAAGCGACTATATAAGTTCGCGCAGGAGGCAGCCGAATGTTTCGCTGCATCGGAACAGTCAAACAACAAGCCTTCAAGAACAGCTCAAGCTCCGAATGGAATTGCGTCCACACGCACTTGTGGTCCAACAACAATGAAGTCAATTTACCCTTTAGTCCCCAAGCAATCGGAATATCAAAGTAACAGCTGTCTGTCAGTGTTAAAATAGGGTTTTGACGACAGCCAAGCTGCAGGTTTATTTAAAGCCATGAAGACGGCCCCAATATCCGGCCAGATATCAAAAGCT